CATTACCAGGAGGACTGGGGTGGTTCTGGCATTCCCAGCCCTCTGGGGACCCCCTTCCCTCTCCTTCCCTTTCTGCTCCTGGTGCGTGCGCCCCGTCGGGTCTTCTAGATCCTTGCACCCCACCCGGTCCGGGGGAGCCCCCCAAACCCCTCCGAGGATTCCAAGCCTTGGGCTGTTGGGTGCTTAGGTCCCGATCCAGAGGGGGGACCCTCCGTTTCCTTTCAGAGGAGGAGCGGCCGTCGAGGCACGGAAGGCAAGGTGTGGGGCTGCCCCGGGGGGCGCGCGCGGAGGAGCGGGACCCTATTGCTTGGGAGGGGGGGGCAGATCGGACTCCAGAAGGCCCCTGGCCCCACCCCGCGGGGATGATGGAAGAGTCACCAGGCCCCCCCTGGGCGGGCTGGGGGTTTTCTCCCGCGTCCCCCCCCCCCGCCTCGCCAAAGAGCGGCGGCCACGGCAGCAGAGGCGCAAGGCCGCCACCGCCCCGGCGCGCTATAAAAGCCGCCCGCCGCCCACCTTTCCCTCCTCCCTCCCCGAAGGGCCAGCCGGTCGATCGCTCGGCACCGTCCGCCTCTCCCTCCTCCGGTGGGTCCCGCGTCAGACGGACGGGCACCGCCTTGACCCCCCCCGGCCATCCCCAGCCCCTCTCGCCTTCCCTCCCTCCTTCCCCGGCTCTCCTCCACCCCAGGGGGCTTGAGCGGCCGGCTGCCCGGCTCTTTCGCCTTCCCTGCAGGGTCCGGCGGCGGGGATGGATTATTCCTACGACGAGGATCTGGACGAGCTCTGTCCCGTCTGCGGGGACAAGGTCTCCGGCTACCATTACGGTCTCCTTACCTGCGAAAGCTGCAAGGTAAGCCCGCGACGGGTCGGGCAGGAGAGGCAGAAGCCGGCCTGGGATCCCCGGGAGGAGGGAGGAGGAAGGAGGAGGGGGGTGAGAGGCGAGAGGAGAGGGTCGTGCTTTGGGGGCGCCAGGGGGAGGCCGATCGAGGAGGGAAGGGATCCCCCACAACCCGGCGTTGCTCGAGGGACGCCCCTAAAATGCCCAACCTCTGCCAAGAGACCGCCAGCGCGCCTCTCTTTTGAAAAGGGGAAAATCTTATCTATCGGACCCTTAAAGAGATCCCTCGCCCACGCCAGGAAAAAAAAAAATCGACGCTAGAAAACGTTCCTCTGTTTTGGATCCAAAACAGAGGGACGTTTAGCAGCCCGGCGCAAAAGATACGCACGAGTCCGAGCGAGCGGGGGGGGGGCAAGAAAGAGACCCCCACCAGGCAGCGGATCACAGGATCCCAGCTGATCCCAGACCCCTGTTAATATTGTTTGAGGGGGAAAGACACAGATGCCATCGCCAAGAAATAGGTCCGCAAGCTGGGGGAATTCCTCTCCCCCGGGGAAAGGCTTAAAGGCACCCATCCTGCACCGAACCCGACGGGAAAACTCAGCCTCCTTCGCCGCTGCCGGAGAAAGAATCGCCACTGCCGGCGGCATTATCATAATCCATGTAGCAAACCCTCCCCCGGGGAGAAATTCAAATAAAATCGAATTATTATTTATGATGGTGGGTGACGCCGGGCGCGCGTTTAAAATAAATGCGATTCCTCCCCTCTCTCTTTGGTTTAAGACGATACAGGAGGGAAGAGTTCTAATTAAACAGAAATGATGGCAATTGTGGCCACTTAACGCTTAAATCGTTTTCGTTCTTGCCGCTATTGCTGTTGCGATTACTGTTGCCGCTGCTACTGCTATTATCATCGTCATTATTATTAATACAATGCTATTAATATTAACCGCAGCAGCGGTAATACTAATAGAGCCCGCGGGGACTTTCCGTGCGTTTCGAAGCCGGTTTTTCGACTCTCGAATTGAGCCCTCTCGAATTGAGACAGAAGGTTATTATTTAGTCCCGGAGTAACTCTTGACTTCGCCTTCTTTTAAATTTCTCTAAATTTCTGCGCTTTGGTTCCCAGCGAATCTGGGCGCCAGGGTTACATCTGCAATCCGGCGTCAATTCGGTTTTTCGTGGAGATCCGTAGTTCTAGAGAAAGACCGTGAGAATATAAACCTTGCCGCTGGTAATATAGGTCGCTTTCCCGAGGTTCCTTTCAAAGGATCCAAAGTGCAGCTAACCGCAATTCGGAGTCACTTCGATTGGCAGTTATCCTTCAGTTTGCAAAGTCCCGAATCTGGATTGCGTTTTCTTTTTTCTTTCTTTTTTTAAAAAAATTCCTTCCGGCGTAAATTAAGCCACTGTCCCGGTCATATTATTTAGAGATCGCTCAGTCCGTTTAGAAATAAATGAGACCGAATGATTAAGAAAAAGAAACTCAAATAAGAAAATCAGTATAGAAATAAAACAACGCCAGTTTGGGTGGGTTTAGCGACCCGTCGGGAAAAAAACCCTTTTAATGGGAACTAATTTTTTTGCGAATTAATATTTTCACGCGGGTTCTCTTCCCCCGCCCAGGGAAAATCTTAGTTTAACTTTATAAAAGCTTTAAAAAATTCTGTATTGTTGTTGAGTCCGTCTATGCTCCCTTATTTTAACTGGAAAAATATATTTTTGAATTTTGTTTTAATGCTATCCCAGTCCACATGGAATTAACCTAAAATGGGTGTTGGCCTTCACCCTGTTTTCCTAACTCCCACCCCATCCCAAGGAAGAGAGAAAAACCTGGGCGCCCCCCCCCCAATAATCTGGCCGGCTTGTTCCACCTTCGAGAGTGGGTGGGACGATTCTCCTTGCGCGCCATCCAAACAGGTTTGCGCCCCGCAACATCTCTGGATGGGCGCTCAGAGCCTGCCGGTTGATGTCTCTTTCCCTTGGCAGGCTGGAAAGGGCGCGGACTTTGCACCCGTGGGGCAGAAAGGAGCCCACTGTGGGGCAGAGGGCTGGATGTCCCCCTACTGAGGCCAGAGGAGAAAGCGGAAGTGTCTTAAACATAAAAAACCCCAGTAATTATCCTATGCAACAATTAAACAAAACCTCCCCCACTAATAATTATCCTTATTTAGCAATTGCTCAAAACCTTCCCCCACTAAAAATACCCTTTCTTTTATTTCCGAGGGAAACGTCATTCCCAGTCATAATACTACACTTTCCCTTGTGGGAACTTTTATTAAACGTCGTTGAAAATTTATTGGGGCGATTTTCAGTTCGGCCTCGTTCGGCCTCCCAGCTGTTAAACTACGGATGGCCAATACGAAGCTCAAACCCCCCCCCCCGCGCGCATAAACCCCCAAAGCGGGTGGATTGTTGTGTATTTTTTGGTATTTCGAGGCATACATCCGTTTGAAACCAAAAGGAAAAAAAAAGAGGGGGGGAGAGGTAGCCTTAATTAAAGAATTTGAGATTGCTGCCCTCCAGATGTTGATGGACTCCAGATTCCATGAGCCGTGAGCCCTGCTGGCTCGGAGGAGGATGGGATCTAGAGCTCAGCACCCCAGTTAGGGGGTCACAGCTCCTCTGGCCGGCTCGGAGTGGGGCCAAGACCTGCTGCGCGCTTTGTACATGCTCAGAGGAATCTCTGGGACTTCCGAGGACTTCTTTAGGTCCCGCCATTGGTGTGGAATAAAGCAGCTGCCCCCCTCCCCCGTTGCGTCTATTATTTAAACAAGTCGTGTGGTGTGTGATTGCCACGCCGCAGCTATGCACAAATAGGAAAAGGTGTTGCCCCGAGGAGCTTACACCCTTTAGGCATACTTTTGGGGAGGTTTGCTAAAGTTTTTTTAAAACGAATTGCCCTAATTCAAATCAATTTAAAAAAAAACGCGGAGTTTTTTCTCTCCTCCAGATTGCGGTGTGTTTTAAACGTGGCCGATAGGATACGGCGCAAAAGAAGCGCCGGGGATGCTACTCCCGATCCTGTGGGTATCAGAGCGCAAAGTCTCCACGCAGCTGTCTCCTAAGGGGTGCTGGCTAGAAAGGGGGGGGACTACATCTCTCATCATCCGCCTCCAATATGAGATATTGGAGGCGGCTTGGGTTTCGGACCGGCTTAAGCGGAAAATCTTTCCGACGTGTTTTTTAAAAAAAGACACGTAATCGATGCCCCAGGAACCGTCTCGTTTCTTTCGCATCTGAAGTGATTACGGAGGGGCGTCCTTCCCCGAGTTCCTGAAAGGGAGACCCCTCTTATGCCCATTTCCCTTCGTTAGCTAAAGCGGCGATTAGCATAATTAAATTACTCGCGTTAGTGACCTACCTACTCAATAGGTGAATTAATAATTGTAAGGGTATTTTAAAGAGCAATTAAGGGGTTTAAACCGAGAGAGACTAAGATGATCTGACCACACCAACCCCTTCACTCTGGGATATAGCACTCCTGAGAAAAGGCGAGCGTGTTCCTGAGCATAGATAAAGTGCATTTCTCCAAATAGCGACTGAAAAAAAGAAAAGAGAGGGAGAGATTTATCCGTGGCCTTCTTCCGTCCCCGTGTCTCAGTCCCCCATTTCTTTTTTCTCGCTCGCTTTCTCCCCGTCCAGGGCTTCTTCAAGCGGACCGTGCAGAACAACAAGCATTACACGTGTACCGAGAGCCAGAACTGCAAGATCGACAAGACGCAGCGCAAGAGGTGCCCCTACTGCCGCTTCCAGAAGTGCCTGGCCGTGGGCATGAGGCTGGAAGGTGAGCGGGGACTCCCGGGTTGGGTGGAGGACCACGCGGGGGTTGCACGTGTGAACGGGTGACGATCTCCGGCAACAGCCTTGGGAGGCCTTCTAGGGGCTCCCATCCAGTTTCTGGTCCGTGTGTAAGCGTTAGGGGTATTGCTGTTTTACGTTCAAGCAAAGATTTTATTTTGCTTGCACCCCTCTTTGCCCGAATATGGTTCCGTTTTCCCATCGTAAGCAAGCTCCGTGTGGGGCGCAGGAGGGCCGCGCCTTTCGGGGGTGGGGGGACGGGAAGGGGAGGGCTGCTTCCTTGCTTGCTGCTTCACTCTTGCACCTCCGATCCATCAATCCTTCCCTCCCCCACCCCACCCCCAGTCTTGGTAGAAAAGGAAAAGCCAAATACACGCCTCCCTGCACGTGTGAATGCAAAACCTCCCGTGGCTAGAACTCTCGTTCGCCCCCCCCCGCCCGCTTTGTGTCTCAAGAGTGGAAATTAGGAAGAGCGGACCTCAAAGTCCTTGTTGAGCTTGTTACTCGCTTTTTCTTCCGAGTAAACACGCTTCAGATTGCTCTGTTATTCCGACGATAGCCTGCAGACGTGTTAGATCTGCCTCTCCAAGCGGCGTTTTTAGCGTCCTGGGTCTTCCTACCAGATTTTATTTTCCCCAGATGGCTGGTCAGAGCTTTCTCCGAAAAGTAATGGAAGAAGACCTTTGTAAAAACAAAATATTTCCCTGGGACCTTCTTTCTGAGTGCAAACCACCACTTCGAAGAGAAACTAAAGCTGATCTACAGTGTATTCTTTTTAAAATTATTATTTATTACCGTTACTCAGGCTTTCGGTATAAAGCCAGCCTTCAACCTCAGAGTAGCCCGATCACTAAGACAGTATTCCTGAACATGTGCAAAGCGCCTGGCTCAAATCACAGCCCTGATTATTATTATTTCGTGGAAAAGCGGGATCAGGGTTTTTAGAGCACTTGAAAGTACGAATTTCAAGCCCGTTTGCGACTTTCTCTCCACTTCCTTTCTCCCATGACGGTTATCATCATCATCATCATTATCATGCCTTGCAGGAAATCAGCACCAAAAGTTACAACTCCAATGCATAAATGCCTCGTTTTAAATGACTCTTTGTTTGGCGTTTTAAAGAAAAGAGAGAATATCTAATATATTTTCTTAAACCCAAATCGGGCAAATAAAGAGATCGCTGGCTGAATCCAGGCGGAGAAGAAGAAAGGCAGGAATCCTTGAACGTTCGGGGGTCTTGAATAAGAGAAAGTGAAAGCGAATTGTTTGGTGGAAAAAAAAAAGATGAACGGGGTTACACTGAGGCTGCATGGCTGAAATCCGGATGCTTTTTCCGGCACTGTCCACGTCTGGATATTTCCGGGTTGTTTTCCCACTCCTTTTTGAGTGGAGAACAGGAATTGTCGGGTTTTTTTGTTTCAAAAGAACAGAATCTAACTTCGATCACAGATCCAAAGCAAAATGGGAAAAAAAATTATAAATATATCAAAGTTTATTGCTGTGGAAGGAGACGAATGTTTTAAAGAAAAGGTCTGTGATCAACAGAAGCCTGCAGATTTGTGTGACACACACACACACACACACACACACACACACACACACACACCACAATTGGCCTAAGTAGATGCATCCTATGGACTAGAAGCCAGAAAGCTCATTCTAGGAAGGGTATTCTGTGCATGTTCAGAAGCACTCTGCCCAGAGGCCATAGGAAAGGAGGCATGTTGGAGTCAGAAGAAGCCAAAACCAGCCCCCCCGCCGCATGTTCCTGTGTGGGTTTGTAGGTGGATGCTTTGTTTCCTCTCTTTTTAATCATGCCAAAGAGGAAAAATCATTGAAGCCCATTGTATCAACTGGAGTTTTCACCCAGAACAGCTTCCTCCTCAGAGGGATCAATATGAAAGCTAGAGAGGGTGGAAGGTTGCCAGTTCAATCCCCGTGATCTCCTTCTAGAAGGATCTGGTGAGGACAGGATCCATTTTCCCCTGCCAGAGACCTGCAAGTGACCCAGGACCCTTCTAGTTGTTTGGGACTAGAACTCCCATCATTCCCACCCAACCCTGCCAGAGGTCAAGGAGCATGCGAGCTATAGTCCCAGAACACTTAGCTGGCCGTGCAAAAATGGACTAATAATTAAGTTTCATTTTGAAATTATGCTGTCCGGAAAAATAGACCAAGTATATTCATAGGCACCATTCTGTGTCTCCCCATTACGCAGAAATGAAGGAACAGTCCTTTCCTACATTGCAGTAAAGTATGGAATGTGCTCCGGTAAATACATTGAACTCTTTGTTCCAATGAATAAATAAAAATAACTCAGTGCTTTTCGCGCCACGAGGGACTCAGCCTGGGGCATCCCTTGGGCCCTAGATTGAGCCGGGTGGGGGGCCGGAAATAATCGCAGCTGGACTTTGCTCCTAAGCTTCCTTGGTGAAGTTTTTTTTTTCCAGTGTGTGTGTGTGTTTCATAAAATCCGATTCGTCTTTCCGGCTTGGCTTCCAAGCTGATAGGGAAAATCGAAGCCAAAACACAGAACAAACCGGGGGGGAGCCGGTTTGTACCCCTCTCCTTCACCTGAGTCAGGGCTGGGGGGGGGGAGAAGCTTGTTTGCAGGCCAAGACAGCTGCCTGCCTGGGAGGCGAGCCCATGATTTGGGTCCCTCCGCCCAACCTGACGTGTGGGAGTCGCTAGGCTGGCTGGCAAAGTCACCCCCCTCCTCCTTTCTCCTCCTGCGGGGGGGGGGGGGCTTGCCTGGCACCCTCTAAAAAAGCCGAACAGTCCTGATGTCCAGGGAGGGTTTTTTCCCCCTTGTTGTTGGAGGCGGTGGGTGGGTGGGGGAGACTGGCTTTTCTCCTATGTCTGGAAGGGCCACCCCCATCTGCTGGAGGCGCTTTCTAAGCAACTGGATGCTTGACAGCAGCTGGGAAGAGGGGCCCAATCCGGAGGGGCTGCAAAGAGGAACGTATCCCCTTCCACACACATCCTGATGTATTCTTAGCTTCAGCTCAGTTTAACCTGCCTGATTCAGCCCCCTGGTCCGGTCCGAGCATAGACTACTGCAGCAGAGTCCTCCTGGGGTCTGCCCTTGAATGTGGTTTAGAAACTGCCTTTGGTTAAGGGCCTGAGGGGGCCTGTTGTCGAACGAGGGGGCATTCCTTCTGATGCCCCCCATATAGGGAGACCCACATAGAGGGTTTGGGCAGGATGGTGGTGAGGGGGGAGAAGTCCAAATTTGTACAGAGTTTAAGGGTTGATGAGTCCGTCCCTCTGACCCTGATGCAGAGAAAAACCTTCTGGCCAACCTCGCAGGGCTTGGCCGAGTTACTTTTTTTGGGCATATGACCCCGAGGATGCCCCACAGGTGACCCTGGCTGGGGAATTCTGGGAGCAGAAGGTCCCGGAAGGAACTTTTCACCGAAACTCACCGAAGTGCAAGGATCATCTTAGAGGGGCGAAAAGGAAGCACTCCCCCAAGTTGCTAAGAGACCTCCCCCAGGGCTGCATGGGGTTGGGAGGGGTTGCCTAGCAACCGGAGACGGAGCATCCTTTTCCAAGTCTCCTCCTGCCTCCAACCCACCAAGGCTGCCTGCCTGCCTCCCCAGCTTGTGTGAACAGACCCCTGGGCCTGACGCCAGGGGTCTGCTTTCTCCCCGACTTCTTCCCTTCTCTCCTCTCCTCCAGCCGTGCGCGCAGACCGGATGAGAGGCGGACGCAACAAATTTGGACCGATGTACAAGCGGGACCGCGCCCTGAAGCAGCAGAAGAAGGCCC